AAAAAATAAAAGATAAATTCTTTTCAATAAAAAAAAAAAAGAAAAGAAATAAATCTATTAATTAATTATTTAAATTTTTAAATTTTTCGAATTTTATATAATTAATTATATATTTAAAAAAAGTTTTTCTACCGATTTTTTAATTTTCTTTTTAAAAAAAGAAAAATATTCGATTAGTAATAAATTCTTTAATAAATCGAAAAAAAATTTGCAAATTTTCTAAAATAAATATTATCTTACCAAAAAAAAAAGAAAAAACTTTTTTTGAAAAATATTTTTTTTTGAATAATTATTTTTATCAAACACATAAAACGCTTCACTTCCAAAGGTTAATACAAATATTCGGTATTAACTCTTAATGATGGTATCTTTGCTAGTCACTTTTGACACTTGTAGGGCAGGAAGGGCCCGCACAATCGTCGCAAGGATAGCGGGAACAAGAACCACCAAGAGGAAGCTTAAGAATTACTGTTTTTGGGTGGTGAAGAAAAACAGTCTAAATTTATGATTTCATTCAATTTATATTTTTTTTTTTCTTTCTATCAGTTTTCTATGGAAATTTTTTTTGATTCTCATTTCTAAGCCTGTGCCTCATTATTTTTTTTTTTAGAAGCCTCATAAAAATTCTGAAAACTTTTTAAAGTTAAAAAAAAAAATATTTTTTTTTTTTTTCTATTATTACTCCTTTCTCATCAAAAAGTTGGCTTGTAAATTCCAATTTTGGAATTTTCATTTGTTTGGATTATTTGGCTGAGACTTTGGTGACACGATAACAAGAAAAACAATCATCTTAATTTAGTTTTAATCAACTTTATTATTTCGGGCTTTTGGATTATTAAAATTTCACCCTTGACTTTTTAAAGGAATACTAAATAGGATTAAATATATATTGAGGCTTTGAAATTTTTTCGAAGGCTGTGAAAAGAAAACCCAACAGATCATTCCACGTTTATAAAAAATGTAGTTTTTTTTTTTTGAATTCACGGCTGAGATATATTACGATCAAGATATTTACTATTTATTGCTTAGTCAATGGCTGAGACGTTTCATTTAATAAGGAAACCAATTATTTTCTTTTTAAGAATCTTTTTTTTTTTTTTTTTTNAAAAACTTTTATTGTAAAGGGCTTATGAATAAAAAAAAAAATTTTTTCTATTATGGAATATAATAATTCAATGAATGTTTTTGGCTGGTGTAGGAAAAAGGTTGAATGATCAAAAAATATGGCGAGGATGGGGCGTGACAAGGCTGGTGAAATATGGCTGAGATCTTTTTTTATTAAAAAAATTTTTTTTTTTTCTTCTTAAAAGAAGTAACGAAAAAATGGCTTGGAAAATGTTGTAGATCACGTCAATCACAAAATTGTTAATTTTGCAAATATTTTTTCTTTCTTTTGAGGCTTAGATATAAGAAGTCGATCTTTTATTATAATGTAAATAAAAATAAACAAGAACGTGTAAAATAATAAACGTGATCGCAAATCTTTACAATTTTTGTAATAATTTCAGGCTTGGAAAATTTGTGGCCGAGTCAAAAAAACGAAAGACAGAAAGGAAGAATGATTTTCTTTTATTCCGTTCCGTTTAATATATCTCATATTGGATAGATACTTAAAGTTATCTGATAATTGTCAACAAATAAATCAAGTTCGGATTATATCGGACATTTACTTTATAATTCAATCCGTTTTTTAAACGGCTATTTACTTTAATTCTCAAGTCCGAAATAAAATGGCTTAGTCGGTAAAATTATTATAATTAAATTTATGATACGAACCTTTCCTTATAATTCCGGACCTTTGATTTTATCTTATACCGAGGTGAATAATGAAAACAAATTGAAATAATGAATTTAATCATTGAAAGATAGATAATTAAAGCGTTACGAGGCTTAGAAAGAAAGACGATGAATATTTTTTTTTTTTTTTTGTCTCACGATATCAAACAAAACAAGTTTAAATTCACTTTTTTTTTAGAGTTTATGTCCTTAAAAATTTTACTCAGCCCAGTGTGACAAGCCATAACTATATATGTCAATCATGTTAAACATTTCACAGCCAATCAGTCCTTAACATTTAGAAAAAAATGCGCATTTCATCCATATTCTTTTTTTCTCGATTTTTTACGATTTTTTTCTTCGTGGCTTGCACGACATGATCGACAATCTTTTTTAACAAAGGGTTCATTCACGAATTCAAAACGTGTGAATTTTTTGTCAATTAAGATAGAAATAAATTACTTATTTAAGTGTCGGTTCTCATCTAAAAATCTAGTATACTTTGATTCTTTCCATATAAAGATTGTGGAGTAATAATAAACAAATGTGATCAACAGTAATTAAATTAAAATATTATTACGATGTCTTCCGTAAAAAAAATAAACATGTTTAAAATCTTTTTTTTTTTTTTTTTTGAAAGTATGATATCATGTTACGTGTCTTTTCTGCTTTTTTTTTTTTCAAGATTCAACAAAAGCAAAAATAACAAAAAAATTTATTAAAATTTCTAAAGAATTATAAAATTTTAAAAGAATTATAAAAGTTCGAAAGAATTAAATTTTTTATAAAATATGACAAACTTTTTTTTTATCAAAAATTGATTTATTTTTTATTTTATTTTTGGAATTTCATTTCGTAAAAAAAAAAAAGAGATTCGATTCATAAAAGAATTACTAATTTTTGATAAAATCTCGTTTCAAATTTCAAATTCAAAAATTCAATTGTTACGAATAAACAAAATTAATCCAAATTACATAAAATACTAGTTATTTTGAAATTAACTTGTTATTAATTATGATCATGATTTTTCATTTGTTCAATGCTTTCTTTCTTCTGTTAAAACTTGTTAAAAACTTGTAATAAATACTTACTTGTGTAAATTGTATAAATAGAAGTATATATAAATGCTGTAGAAAAATATATATAAAATGTTGTATAAATGCTGTAAATAAATATATAAAATGTTGTATAAATCCTGTAAATGAATATATATAGATGCATGTTATATAATTGCTGTAAATAATTGCCGTAAATAAATATAAATAGATGCTGTAAAAGTGCTGTTTTATAAATATATAAATACCGTATAAATACCGAATATAAATATAAACATAAGCCTCTATACTATTTACCATCAAATTCTTTGTAATTATAAATATTTATGTCATATGGTATTTTTAAAAAATTATCATTATTAATGGAGAGGAAAAAAAAAACATTTCTCTGAGAATAAATAATCTGAAATTCATAATCAATTTTTTTTTTTTTTTTTATAATGTTAAAAGGCAATTAACGTGATCGTAAAGAATTTTTTGGAAATCTTTGCCATATACAGTATTTGCGCGAAACAAATTATAAATTACTTTATAGAATATAAAATAATATTTTTAATTGTTTATTTGTTAATAATAATAATTAAATAAAAAAGAAAGAGAAAGATAAAATAAAAAAAAAATGAAATAATCCTATCAAATAACAGGTACGGTGAAAATTTCTATTGGATATTATTGGATACCGATATAAATTTTAAAACAAGAAAAAAATGGTTGAAATGATAAATAATTCTATTAATATGTATTTATATATCAATGAAAGTATGAAACTACTATTCTATGACATAATCAAACAAATTACTGGATCTCAGCTAAAAAAAGATGATTAAAAATTGAAATGGTAAGTAATCTTATTAAGCTATCAATACTGTGGATTTTTCTGTGATATAAATAGGATATTAAATTTCGATCAGAATCCCGAACAAAAAAAATATGATTAAAATAGCAAATAATCTTATTAATACTATGTATACACCAATGAACTTCAGTTTCTGCGATATAATCGAACAAAATATTAGATCCCAATAAAATCCCAAACAAAAAAGCTAGATTGAAATGACAAATAATCTTATTAATACTATGTATACACCAATGAACTTCAGTTTCTGCGATATAATCGAACAAAATATTAGATCCCAATAAAATCCCAAACAAAAAAGATTGATTGAAATGACAAATAATCTTATTAATACTATGTATACACCAATGAATTTTTCTATTATAGTAACCAAATAAAAAATTAGATTCCAATAAAGCTTTCAACAAAGTTAATAATTTTCTTCTATCATTATTCCACCAGTTATAATTTGAATTTTGTTTAAGCTTTAAAACTTGTGCAATATTTTTTTGCATAGAGTACATACATTTGTTGTGGATAACCAAAGTTGACCGAAGGGTATATAAATTTGATCTTATATTATCAATATAAAATTTCCATTCTTTTGTCAAATTGCCCGGGAACTTGTTGCAAACAATTAAAGTTAACCAAAAGATATATGAAAGTAGTGTTAATATATTATTAATAACAAGTTCCAATACTTTTAATTTTGCTAAATTGTCTAGATACTTGTTGTAAATAACTAAAAGATATTATAAGATATTAGTTTTATAAATAATCATATAAATAAGATTTTAATTACTTACTATAATTATGATATTCATCTGATTTGATATTATTAATATCAAGTTCCCATTCTTTTGTCTCGTGAATAACCAAAAGATATTATATGAAAATTGTATATAAAATGTTTATAAAATATTAGTTTTGGTATAAAAAAACATTTTAATTACTTACTATAATTATCATATTTATCTGATCTTTTATTATTAATATCAAGTTCTAATTTTTTTGTTAAATTAATTAAAATGCACATATGTAATAAATTATAATTATATAAATAAGAATATTTATAACGGTTAATATTAATAATGTAAAATTAAAATAAATAAATAATTACCATTAAAAGAGGTATAATTATTATTTTGATAATAATTAAATGGATCTGAATAATTTGTAATAAAAAAAATCAATAAAGTTTTTTTTTTATTATACTATTCATGTCTTTAATAAATTTTTATTATAAAATAGCTTACCTAATTCTAAAGATTGGGCTTCTTGACTCATACTTGTATATATTGCAGATCTTATCATATTACTTAAAGGTCTACTCGTATAAATTGCTCCCGGATTATTGGTTGTTATAGGTCCAATTAATGGGAATAGTTTAATCTTTGTTGGTTTTTCAAGCTCACTTAATTTAATATAATCTAATTCTTTTAAAATACTACTAGCTGTTGGCCTTTTATTCGGATCGGAATGCCAACATTTTTTCATCAGATTAATATAACCTTTCGGTATATCTGTAGTACTAATTGGAGGACGAAGACCTTTACAGATACTAATGATAAGATCTATTTCATGAATTTGATCCCAAAATGGTCTTCTACCTGTCATAAATTCCCACATAATCATACCAAAGCTATATATATCTGAAGCTGTAGTATACTTGTGTCCTTGAAAAATCTCTGGAGCAATAAATGGAATAATTCCATAAATCTCACCATTATTATCTGCTGTGGTTGAGGATTTACTTATTCCTAAATCACATATTATTGCAGAAGTTGCATTATTATAAAGGATATTTCCGCTATGGAAATCACGGTGAATAATATTTGCATCATGAATATACTTAAGTCCACTTAAAATAGAAATTAACATAATCAACTTTTTGTACCAAGAATAATAAAAGTGTTTTGTTATATAATGTCTCAAGTCTCCTGAAGAATAATAATCCATAATTATCATAAAATCCTTTGTTGTGGGATCTTGGGTAATTCCGTAATAATTGATAATACAAACATTATGAAAATTAAAATATTCATTAATACCAAATATTTCTGATGAACGTGAATGATAATCATAAAATATTTCAAGCTGGATTTTAAACACACATAAACATATATTAATACAAGTTCTTCATATTATGAAAAATAATAAGTTATTATAAAATACTATACCTCATTTAAATCCTTAAGTGTGATGTCTTTAGAATTGTTAAGTTTTTTAAGAGCAATTGTTTTGCATTTATTATTATGTTTTTCAACCCATATGGCTTTATATATTTTACTAAATCCTCCCTCAGCAAGAAATTCTATGTTTTCAAATTGGTCATAGGAAACAAACTCTATCCTTCCGGTTTTTAGATTGTCATTTTTTTGCGTATATATAATAAAATCGTCCACAACATTATTTCCACTCAATTTGTAATCTCGGTTTTTATCATAGTATTTCATTTTGTATGATTGAAATATTTTTTTTATATAAAGAGTAATAAAGATAATTAATTTAGGACACTCGGTCTTTATATATAGAATTATAGATATAGGTATATATATTTCGAACTATTTAGCCAATCTCTTGTTTTTCCGGATTATTTTTATTAATAAAATGTTAGAAAATCATATGGTTACACGGATTCATTTAATTTACAATCAACTACAATGACAAAGTTATCATTGGTCTATTCATTGAAAGATTCTAATCCAAATTAAAATTTTGATTTTGTCATTTGAAAAAATACGCCAAATTAGCAAAAAAGTCAATAAAACAATCGGATCTACCTCAATTAATTACAATTTCGACAAATCTAGACAATTTTTTTTTCATAATATTAAATAAATTTTATATTGTAATTAAAAGTATAAATATTATACGCTACCTAAAAATGACATAGAATAATCGTGAAGGAACATTTAAATTTCCCATTTTTTTCCCCCTCCAGTTAAAAATCCAGCATGATGACATACTTGATATATAATTGATTAAACATAAATTTTAGATTCTTCTCTATGCATAAATTCCTATTGAAAGCTTTTTCGTAATGATGATGATAAATATTTTTTATGTGGACACTACCGATAAAGAGCTTGAATTGGATGGGTTTATGATTGAAATATTTCTTTTTTTAGTCATTAAATCGATCAATTGTTTAATTGGTGATCTGTTGATTAGAATGGAAATAAACAAAATGTAGATCAATCAATTTGGATTTTATTACTGAAGTCCTAACTTGATATGAAATTAGCGTATTTTATAAGTAAATAATATAAATAAAGTTAATTTATTTGTAAAGATTAAGTTCATATAGCGCAGTAAATTAAGTTGATACTATATCGATATTTATTAGAGAATAATTAATTAAGGTGAAAATTGTTTATTATAATGACAATAATTCATATTATATATTTCAGAGTTATTTTATCTATATTGTAATAGTTAATAATTGAATAAAATTTGAAATTATATTTTATTTATCAGAATACTAACGGCAAGTTATTTAAAAAATTATAAAGTACAAAATAGTACAAAATAATATAAAATAAATAAAAATGTTTAGAAATAACAGAAAAATAAAAATAATTTTGCTTTATTATGCAATTTGTTAAAAAAGTAAAAGTAAATAAATCCTGTACTTTCCTTAATTTTATAAAATATCCTACAAATATTGTAAAAGAAAAAATCATAGATAATACTTATATAAATATAATTATTTGTCTCGTCATTATAATTATTAGATTTCATATTATTAATATCCAATTCCCATTCTCTTGTTAAATTATCTAAAATATATAATACAATAAAATAAACTTTATTAAAATTTTTTTAAAAAAAATTACCGTCAGTATTGCTATTTTGATAATAATAAAATGGATCGATCCCAATAAAATCCCAAACAAAAAAGATTGATTGAAATGACAAATAATCTTATTACTAATACGATGTATACACCAATGAATTTTTCTATTATAGTAACCAAATAAAAAATTAGATTCCAATAAAGCTTTCAACAAAGTTAATAATTTTCTTCTATCATTATTCCACCAGTTATAATTTGAATTTTGTTTAAGCTTTAAAACATGTGCAATATTTTTTTGCATAGAGTACATACATTTGTTGTGGATAACCAAAGTTGACCGAAGGGTATATAAATTTGATCTTATATTATCAATATAAAATTTCCATTCTTTTGTCAAATTGCCCGGGAACTTGTTGCAAACAATTAAAGTTAACCAAAAGATATATGAAAGTAGTGTTAATATATTATTAATAACAAGTTCCAATACTTTTAATTTTGCTAAATTGTCTAGATACTTGTTGTAAATAACTAAAAGATATTATAAGATATTAGTTTTATAAATAATCATATAAATAAGATTTTAATTACTTACTATAATTATGATATTCATCTGATTTGATATTATTAATATCAAGTTCCCATTCTTTTGTCTCGTGAATAACCAAAAGATATTATATGAAAATTGTATATAAAATGTTTATAAAATATTAGTTTTGGTATAAAAAAACATTTTAATTACTTACTATAATTATCATATTTATCTGATCTTTTATTATTAATATCAAGTTCTAATTTTTTTGTTAAATTAATTAAAATGCACATATGTAATAAATTATAATTATATAAATAAGAATATTTATAACGGTTAATATTAATAATGTAAAATTAAAATAAATAAATAATTACCATTAAAAGAGGTATAATTATTATTTTGATAATAATTAAATGGATCTGAATAATTTGTAATAAAAAAAATCAATAAAGTTTTTTTTTTATTATACTATTCATGTCTTTAATAAATTTTTATTATAAAATAGCTTACCTAATTCTAAAGATTGGGCTTCTTGACTCATACTTGTATATATTGCAGATCTTATCATATTACTTAAAGGTCTACTCGTATAAATTGCTCCCGGATTATTGGTTGTTATAGGTCCAATTAATGGGAATAGTTTAATCTTTGTTGGTTTTTCAAGCTCACTTAATTTAATATAATCTAATTCTTTTAAAATACTACTAGCTGTTGGCCTTTTATTCGGATCGGAATGCCAACATTTTTTCATCAGATTAATATAATCTTTCGGTATATTTGTAGTACTAATTGGAGGACGAAGACCTTTACAGATACTAATGATAAGATCTATATCATGAATTTGATCCCAAAATGGTCTTCTACCTGTCATAAATTCCCACATAATCATACCAAAGCTATATATATCTGAAGCTGTAGTATACTTGTGTCCTTGAAAAATCTCTGGAGCAATATATGGAATGATTCCATAAATCTCACCATTATTATCTGCTGCGATTGAGGATTTACTTATTCCTAAATCACATATTATTGCAGAAGTTGCATTATTATAAAGGATATTTCCGCTATGGAAATCACGGTGAATAATATTTGCATCATGAATATACTTTAGTCCATTTAAAATAGAAATTAACATAATCAACTTTTTGTACCAAGAATAATAAAAGTGATTTGTTATATAATGTCTCAAGTCTCCTGAAGAATAATAATCCATAATTATCATAAAATCCTTTGTTGTGGGATCTTGGGTAATTCCGTAATAATTGATAATACAAACATTATGAAAATTAAAATATTCATTAATACCAAATATTTCTGATGAACGTGAATGATAATCATAAAATATTTCAAGCTGGATTTTAAACACACATAAACATATATTAATACAAGTTCTTCATATTATGAAAAATAATAAGTTATTATAAAATACTATACCTCATTTAAATCCTTAGGTGTGATGTCCTTAGAATTGTTAAGTTTTTTAAGAGCAATTGTTTTGCATTTATTATTATGTTTTTCAACCCATATGGCTTTATATATTTTACTAAATCCTCCCTCAGAAAGAAATTCTATGTTTTCAAATTGGTCATAGGAAACAAACTCTATCCTTCCGGTTTTTAGATTGTCATTTTTTTGCGTATATATAATAAAATCGTCAACAACATTATTTCCACTCAATTTGTAATCTCGGTTTTTATCATAGTATTTCATTTTGTATGATTGAAATATTTTTTTTATGTGGTTAAAATGATTTTTCGATAATGGATTTAAAGTCTTTTTGAAGTATAAAAAATGGTAAAAAAAATCTTGGGTATAAAAAGGCATAAAACGAAATTATCTCTTCCTAATTCTTATATATATACTTTATTAAAAAGAGTATTTTTTTTCTGTTTACCAGTCACAAATAAGTGACATTAATCCGAAAATTCATATAAACAAATAAAGAAAAAAATCAATAATAAAATGACTTTTGAAGTTTTTCTGATTTTGGCGTTATCGTTCGAATTTTATTTTTATTATGAAAGAGATTAGGTATTTTTTACAAAGCAATTTTTTTGCAAATAAATCTTTGCATTCCGATAGAGCGCAGCAATTTTAACGCCTAATTTTCAATTTTTGATGTTATCTCCGAATTTTGTGAAACATTTCTATAAAACTTTGTTAAAAAAAAGAGATTAGATTACAAAGTAATTTCAACTTTTTCACATGGAAATTATTACTGAACAGATTGCAACAAAGTCGACGAGATATACTTGCCGTCGGAATTAATTACGGCATATGAAGCTTATAATATATTAAATCGCCGTAATGCCGTAATTATTTAATGTCAAAAATACAAAAATTACACAAAGTAAATATTTTTTTCTGGTTATGCCGTAGATAATTTGTAATCCGTATATCTATAATGCTGGTCTCGATGATTTGTTAAATATTTAAATGGTAAAATCCATATTTTGTGATGGCGTAATTTCAATTCGGCAATTCCGACGGCACTTATACGACGAGAATTAAAAATTGTGATGTTTATTTTCATTATAAAACATATGAGGTGAAACTTGTGTGACAGCAGTTCGCAATCCATTTTTTTAGAGATATTGTTGCTTCTTATGAAGTATGAACCATAATTTTATTAAAGTGGGTTATTAATAGATTTTTAGGTATTTATATTTAAGCGCGGTGTATAAACGTTTTCAATCAATCACGTCATCAAATAAAAAAAGAAAAAATCTCAAAAGAAATTTGGCTAACGGTTTTTTGCCGTTTTCAAAATGATGTACGCAGTTTATTTGTGATTGTATATTCGAATACCAATATTCGCCCGGTTTTCATTCGGTTTTTTGTCCATATTTCGTCCGGGTTTCATCCGGTTTTCGGGTTTCTTTTTTTTTATTCAAATTTAACTGCGTACAACGGCGATAAAAGAAAATGTGAAAACAAAGAACATTTGGATCTTAAGTCGGTAGAGGCCTCATAATACGTTTTTACTTGAATCCTAAGGTTTTCAGCGCTCTTTCTGTCCCAAGTGACGATGGGAAACTCCTGGCATCTCTCTACTCGCATTTGGAGCATCATGACTCTTCTTCGCTTGTTGTTTTTATCATTAAAACTTTGTACTACTACATATTGCAAGCTTTTTATACAAATAAATAAAATATTGTATTATCGTAGTTTGCTAAACTTGCGCACCCTAACGTTACACGCCCATTAAGATTAATTTATTTATTACTCGGTTGAGATTTCAATGAATGAGTAAAGCTTTTAGAATTTTAATGGACGATCATTAAAAAAAAAATATATGTATATACTATTGTGTACTGATATAGAAAGTGTAAATATTGGAATTGCCCGTTACGCTTACATCATCTAAATCTTTGATTTGGGCACCAGAGTACGATACGCTAAACTAAACAATGTAAGATGGAACCATACATATTCAGTCATCATTGTTAAATCTTTCAATCCTGATTCACTGATTCATATTTATTTACGCAGATAATCTGTAAACATCTTACAACATCTTACAAAAGAATTTTGTAGTGAATAATAAGTAAAACAACATGTCTTGAAATAGTGTCTCTCCAGATCAAGCAAATCGCCAAATATATATATAACATATTCTTAATTTCCGAATTATCCGAATTATCTGAGGGTTGGTAACGCGAGTTCTATCATATGACACATTAATCATACGGTAAATCCCAAATATAAACGTAATAAAACCTAATTTATAAATGCTTTTCCGACATTCTCGCGCACAAAAATGATTGACAAAATAGGTTTAAAATTGCTTAAATAAACTTAAACTCTCTTTTCTCATTTTATTTTTTCATTTTATTTTTATTTTTATTTTTTTCTTGTCATAATGACTGACGATCAGTGGACTTCGGTAACTAACGCTCGACATGGAAATTCTCGTATTAATAAATCATCATTTGGAACTCGAGGAGGAAGAACAAAACCATCATACAAGAACAATAAATTATCGTCAGCTAATAAATCTTCGGATCATTTAAATAAAAATTCATCTTCATATAATAACATAAACAATAATAGATACGCATTTCCATCAAATATTAATTATGAACAAGGATTTAATTTATTAAATGAGGGTGAAGATGAAAATGAAAATGAAAATGATTCTTCTGATGACTCTTTAGAACAAGATGAAAATAATGATTCTTTATCATTGAAACCTTATCATATTGAATTATCATTAAAATGTCCTTTTAAAAATTGTCAAAATGAATTATTAAATAATAGTACAAAACTTAATGATCATTTAAAAGAATTACATAATTTACGTTTTGTTAATTTACATCATGTTTATTTAATTATCGAAAAATATTTGGATATTTGGTCAAAAAAAATTAATGATGATAATGTTATTCAACAATTAAAGATTGAAATTGATAATGAAGGTACGTTAAATATATTTATATATATTGATTTATAGACTTTTATTTTTAATATCATTTAATAGTATTGAATTATTCTTGTTTTAGGTGATAAAGTGTATGTAATTGATCCAGAAAAATTTTCTGATGATAAAATTTTACGAGAAAAACTTCAACTTGATAAATTGGTATTTATTAATTTAATCAATAATGTTTGATTTAAAATATTTAAATTAATTTATTTTATATACGTTTATTTATATTTATAGAACGAAGTTTTACAAATTCAAGCACATGAAAGAAATAATGATGCTAAATTAGAGCGTAAATGTTTATTTTGTAAAAATATTTCCGATAATAGGTAAATAAATATATATTATGTGTAATACTTATGTCAAAGAAAGAAAGATTCTTGACTTACCTAACCCACTTTTTAAATAGGACTATATTATTTCGTCATATGTTTATGGAACATAATTTCAACATAGGCTTGCCAGATAATCTTGTAAACGTTAATGATTTCTTAGCAATTCTCGAAGATAAATTAAACAAGTAAGATATTTATTTACAATGTTAAAAATTTCTTAAATATAATTAATTAATATAATATTTAATATACTTAAATTTATTACAGTCTTCAATGTTTGTATTGTGAAAAAAGATTTACTACGCCAGCAGTTTTACGTAAACATATGCGTAAAAAGAAACATTTTAAAATTAATGCAAGAAATAGAATTTATGATAAATTTTATGTTATAAATTATTTAGAACCTGGAAAAAATTGGGAAACATTTGAAAACGAAAATTATGAATCTGACGAAGATTACAATAAGGATGAGTAAGTTAATTATACCTTTATGAGTTATTAATCTTTTTAAATAATAACCAAATATATTTTTTTTGTAATAAAGCTCTTGGGATGATTGGAATGAAGAAGAATATCAATCAACAAATTGTCTTTATTGTACTAATATATCATCAACAACAAAAGAATGTTTAAATCATATGGTTAAGGAACATAATTTTAATTTATTAGGAATCAAAAATAAAATGGGTAAGTTAAAATCTGTAACTTTTTATTTTTATAATCTATAGGATATTAATAATCTTTTTTTCACTTTAGGACTGGATTTCTATCAAACAGTTATTCTAATTAATTATATTCGATATAATGTTAAAAACAATACTTGTATGGCATGTTTAACAAAATATGAGAATTCAAAAGATTTATTAGTTCATATGAATAATGAAAATTGTTTTGTAAAACTTCCATCATTAGATAATGAATTCTGGAAAGACCCAAAGTATACTTTCATTTTATCATTAATAAAAGGAAAAAATTTTTTAATTTTCTTATTTTATTTAAATATTTTTTTTTTCTTTTAGATATCTTTTACCAACTTTACAAGATGATCCATTATTAGTTGGATTTGAAGATTCAAGTGATGATGATAAAGATGATGATTTATTGTTACATATTCCAGATAATACTATTGTTATACCTGAAAAAACTCCTGAAAATTTGGAGGAACAATTCAAACATTTATTAAAAATCAATAAAATTTGATTAATGAAATTTGTTACTAAAATTATGTTATAAATGTTGGTAAATACTTGAATTTAGATTTTAATACTTAACAAAAAAATTTGGAATTTGGAATTTGATATATATAAATTAAATTTGAAATTTGAAATTTGTTATTTAGCAATTTAGAATTTGAATTTTAAAATTTGAATTTAAATAATATTTTTTTTTAATATTACTTGTAATTTAAATAAAAGTATTACCAATTAATTTTTTTATTAAATAATTAAATAAGCTATAAAAGTTTAAAAACCTTTAAAATATTAATTCTTATTATAATTTGCAGAATTTTTGAATCCATTGAATTTTGCCAATTTTTTAGATTTAATATAATAGCTAAATCTCTAGTTTTAACAATTGAAATATAAATTTAATAATTTAATTTCTAATTTTAATTTTAAATAGTATTATAAGAATTTTTTATTAAGTTTATTAAATATTTATTAAAAATATATAATTTTCAAATGTTTTTTATCAACTATAAACTTTCAATTATCAACTTTTTTTTTTTATCAATTATAAACTTTTAATTATTTATTAATTTTAAATATAAATTCATCTGAAAACTATATTAATCAAAATAGTAAATCTTGTGATTTGTATTTTAACTTGAAATATCAATCTTTCTAACCCTCAAAATATAATAATTTTTAGTTAAATTTATTATTATATATAAAAAATAATGTATTAATATTTAATAATAAAGTAAATAAACTTAAAATAATATAATTTTTTAATTAAAAAAAAACTAAAAAACTGCTATAGAATTTAAAAGCTTAAAATCTGATTTTTTAAATTGGTTTATTTATAATTATATTGTATTTAATAGTTACATAAAAATTTATAATTTATATATTTTTATAACAAATTACCATTTAATATAAAATATATTATATTTAGCTTTCTGAAAATTTAAACTACATATTTTTTATTATATATAAATTCTAGGATTTTTTTGATAAAAGCAATCCATCTTCCAATTCCTTTACTATAATTCTTGCATCTTCTTTTGACTGAAAGTAAGGTTTAAAATATCAAAAATTTTAATTAATAAACAATAATAAATTAAATAAATAATTAAGAGAATACCTGTACTCCAAAACTGGATAAAAGTTCAGTATGCTTTATACATTCTTCTACATCTCCTTTTTCCTTATAATAATGAGCTAAAAATTTATGTCCATTTTTTCTTTCTTCGGCATCTTCATGTAACTATAAATTAATAAATTTACTTAATTATTTATCTACTTTTTTTTAAACAAAATCATAATCTCGTTTTCTCATAAAAGCTTACATCATCCTTAGCTAACAAACGAATCCAAATAACCGCAGCTTTTTCAGTATCATAATCTTCATATAATTTAGCCAATTTTGTCATAGCATAAATGGTAGATGTACTATCGATATCTTTTGCTTCAAGTGCTCTACTAAATCCTTTAATGGCTTCTACATACAAACATTGCTGCTCATAAAGTGCAGCTAATCTTAACCACATTCTAGAATCATATGGTCTAATTAAAAAAAAATTATATTAATAGTTTTTCAGTTCATTGAGGAATTAAATTTCAAGATATATACCTTAATGCTGAAGAACGTTGAAAATAATAAATTGCATAAAATGGTAACTTCAACATTTCGTATATTTGTCCAAGAGCACACCACGCTCTATAATCTTTTGGATTTACCTCTAATAAAAACTAATTTACTAAGAATTCACTTCCTTAAATAAATTTTATAAATTTTATCTTACCTACTGCTCTTTTATATGAAATTACTGCAGCGTGTGTATTTTTTATTTCCACATATTCATGCCCCATCAACGTCCAAGCCGATAAACAATTTCGGTCAATCTGTAATGCTCTTCTGAAATATGAAATTGCTTTTTCTCGTTCTACTTTTGAACTATAATAATTTCCTAAAATAATTTAAAACCAATTTAATTATCAGATAACAATAACTTAAATAAGCTTAACATCAATTACCTAAAACGCACATAGTTTCAGCCCGAAACTTATCTGAAAATACACACATATGAGCTAAGATACTTAGCTTAGCACTTTTCCCCTCTAGAACATACAATATATTCGAATATATGTCCATATCATCTATTCTATATGGATCAGCTTTAAGTAACCTATCAAATATTGTTTCAGAAAGATCATAATCTATAATTATAATTTTTATTAGAAATATTGTAAAATATAACCGCAGTTTCCTCCCAAATATGATAAAAAAATACCTCGATTATAATAATACATTAAGGCCTGTTTTGTCTTCAAGAATCTATTATCAACATATTCTGATGGGAATTCTGCAGCTATGTCAGAAAACGTTTGCGGAGAATCTTGTAATTCAACTGACATATGAAGTTTGAAAAATAATGACATAAAAGTATTCGGCAATCGACTTAACACATTTCCTAACTTTAAAATTTGAAGGATAACAGACGATTAAAATAATATATATACTTGAAATAATACTAAAAAAAAAATATAAGTACCATATCCCTATTAGTAATACATTCACCCAACTCAATCCAAGCACTCCAATTGTAATGATAACTTTGTACTGATTCCAGAAATAAATCCTTAAGATTCTTATCTTGAGGATATAATTGTTTGCGCATTACTGCATATCTTGATAAAGATAATAAAATAAACTCTATATAAAGGAAATTACTAAACTCTTTGCAGTACAAAAATCAAATCTTACATGTAAAGCAGGAAACCATCATTCATTTCACAAGAATTTCGCCATGATTCCATTTCTTCCATTAATTTAGGTATTTCTTTGTTAAATGTCTTTAAATCATTCATTTGACCCATAATATCATGACTTTCTTCATCTTTACGCTTTTCTCCGGCCTAATAAAATTAAAATTTAACATAAAAGCGTTAGAATATTATATATGTATATATATATAATTTTACTTACCATATATTTTGAATATATTTTTAAAAATCTACATTTGGAGGATTTACATGATTCAAGAAAGTAAGCAGCTCTGTCAAATTCCTTGACATCGAAATAACTTTTACCCAACAGAAATTTATCATATTCGACTAAATCAAGATTTGTTGATTCTTGTGTCATACTTGAATCCATTGATATGTCCATTTCTGAATTGTCAACGGGTACGTTAGGTAATCCTTCCACTGTTTCAGCTGCCCTACAAGCAAATAAGAGTTTATGAATAAGAAAAGTTCACGAATAAACGGGAAAACAGGTAATTATATAAAATTACCATTTAGCAGAAAAATAAAGACCTCGATCAGAACATTGTATTACACCTTCTCGTAAAACTTTTTTCATTTCATTTATAGGAAAAAACTCATAACTTGAAGGCTTTAAGCCGGTTTCGAGATTCATTCTTGATAAGTAATAAGTAAAATAAGTAAAGGAAAAATAATACACGGATGATCTTGATGATCTTCAAAAATACCATTAGAGCAGAGATCAGCAACACAATCAAGTTCAAATTCCAAATCGGGGAAAATAGCTTTTAGTTAACATTCAATTTTAATGTCTTCGCCATCTCGTTATCTTGTTTCAGCACCAGGTAAAGTTATACTGTTTGGCGAACATGCAGTTGTCTATGGAAAGGTAAAATTTTTTACTATCAAATGTAATATTTCAAATTATAATTATTTGACATATTCGTTTAAATTATTTTTAGACCGCAATTGCTGGTAGTCTAGACGGACTTCGTACTTACGTATTTTTTGAAAAACGGGATGATGGATTTCTTGAATTGAATTTGCCAAAACTTGGCCTTCAGCATCCTTTGTTATGGCCTATTTCTGCTCTTCCGTATTCCAAAGTGACAACCGTTAGCAAAGGTATATTGTAGTATTTAACTTCATTATTCTGATACGGTAATTAACTTTGTTTTACAAAACTATAGAAAACAATTCTTTACAGGAATCAACAATTAATGAAGAACTTTTAAAATCATTAAAAGAAATTGTACTTGATGGCAATGCTGGTAACAAAAATAATCAAGAAATTAATGAACTTCAACAAGTGGCGGCTTCGGTCTTTCTTTATCTTTACGCAAGTTTAGAAGATAAACAAACTTCATGGTATAATTATAATTATTTACTAACATTGCAATTTTAAATGTAACAATTAATTAACTATTGTTTTCAATTAAGGTGTGGAACGACAGTTCACATCGCATCTAATTTACCTGTGGGTGCTGGACTGGGTTCCTCTGCCGCTTATTCAGTTTGTTTAGCTACAGGATTATTACTTGTTCTAGGTCACATTACTATTCCTAATTATGGTGAAAAAGTCGGAGGATTTAATATTTCGGATTCATCTTCTCCTATGAATTTAATTAATCGCTGGGCTTTTCAAGCCGAGAAAATAATTCATGGAACTCCTTCGGGAATTGACAATGCAGTAGCTACTTACGGTAAGTATTATTCATATATTTATTACACTTGTTTATAATAATGTGCTGAATATTTATTTTATTTAAAGGTGGCGCAGTATCATTTTCAAAAGGCGTTATGGAAAATGTGATAGAGTGAGGCGTTTTCCTTCTTTGAATTATAACAAAATTGTATTATATTTATTGAAATATGACTAGATTTTTTCTGTAAGATTTCAATCACTTCGATTCCTACTAACAAATACCAAAGTACCAAGAAATACACGAACTCTGGTTGCTAATGTTCGTAAATTGCATGATAAAGTATGATTAACTACTCCTTTTTGTCATCGATCCTTTGACTACCATTGAAATATTTTGGGCTAATTTATTTTTTAGTGCCCACATATTGTTGTCCCTATATTGGAAGCAATTGAAGGTATTAGTTCAAAATTTAAGGAAATAATCAATAGCGGAGGTATGAAACCTTTTTTAATTATTTCTTGTTATAATTAAATAATGTTTTCTAACATATTTTGTTTATTAATTTAGATTCTCAAAAGGAGTTGAACCAAAATATTGAGGCAATTGTTTTTCTATTTGTATTAAATTTTTTTCAATTAATTTCATATTAAATTTCAAAACCTTTACATTTTTTAGGAATTAATTGATTTTAATCATTATTTATTAAATTCTTTGAGAGTAGGACACCCATCTATTGATAAAGTTAGGGAGATTGCTGCACAATATTCATTACATTCAAAACTCACCGGAGCCGGAGGTGGAGGATGTGTATTAACTTTACTTAGAGACGGTAGATATGTAAACATTTTATAATGTTTCTCATACATTATATATAACTAATATTTTGAATTAATAATAGATGTTCCTAATGATGATATAATGAAAATTATGCTGAACTTGACATCAATAGGATTTGAATGCTTTGAAACAAAAGTTGGAGGACATGGAATCAGCATATTGGATGCTTCAACTATAAGTAAACAAGAATTTTTGTCATCTGAAAACATACAACAATTTTCCGGTTGGAAACATTTTAACTAATAATTTTGAAGAGTAAAAACATCATTTTATTGATGCCTTTTTTATACAAAAATATATCTTTAAATTACAGAGGTAACAGATTTAATATATCACAAAGAAAATACGAGTTATTTTGTTGCTCTATATAGGGAAATAAAAACAGTATGCGACAAACCGCTATATAAAGAAAAGAAAAATTATACACAAATAAAAAATAGGGAAGAAAAAATATATGCATAAAAAAAAAATTTTTAAAATGTTCCTGGGGAAAAATAATTTTTTCCCCGCTTATCCCCAAAATTCAATATAAAATACATATTTCTTTGAAAACATTGTTTCTTGGTGAAATAAATAAAATATAAATAAAAATAAAAATAAAAAACAAAAACAAAAAAAGATATTAAAAGTGTAATTTTCTTTAAATCATATTAAACAATTCATTATATTTACTAAATCCTATTTAACTTCATAAAATATTTCCTCATCTTTATTTTTAATTTTTTCCCTGATTGTTAATAATAAACGCTCTCCACCTCAAAATATCAACTATACTATTTTGAAGTTTGTAACTCTTGGATTTGCTTCAATAAAAACAATTTCTCATCATTAAATTGCTCATCATCTAATTGCATATAAAAAGTAAGTGTCGGTTTTATTAAAAAAAGAACTAAAAGAACTAAAAATGAATATAACAGTAAACAAACCGTGACGATCATTATGGAAGTTCCCTAAAAATTGAATTAACCTTTCCCGATTTTTACCCAAAATATCCGAAATAGGTTTGGTTTTGTTTGGATTCGCCACGAATATCTAAAATAATTTCTTTAATTAAAGAACCAAACGTGTAATTTCACGATTATTTATCAAACACAAAATCATACCTTGAACACGTGAAAAGCTTCGAATTGAATATTACGGCTCTTATCTCTTAGTAAATTCATCATAAGTTTCAAATTCTCTGCATTCGCAATATATCGAGTCATCACATTAAAATTACAACGATCCAGTAAAATTTCGCCAAGAAGCTAAAAATTTATAAATAATCAATAAAATATTTCCAGATGAAATTGATGAAATTGTAACTTACTTTAAGAGATTGTCGCTTGGTCACATAATTATTTGAATTCAATAATTTAGTATAAGATCCGAAAAACTAGAGTATAAGAATAAGTAAGCATAAACTCTTAAACATTCAAAAATTACGTGATTCATTAATTAACTCATTACCGTGTCATAATTAGTATCCAAAAATTCAGCTACTAAAGTTTTATGACGTGTCAATATTTCCTTTTGAACAAATTTAAATTATTATCAAGAAGTTAAGAGCACTCTATGAAAATAAAGGTGTATAATAATAATTCAACTAACCTTGAATGTTGCGAAAGCATCACTCGCAATATCAAATGTGCTCATTTCTACATAAGTAAAGAAATCGTAAAATTGCGGGGAATATAATATAATCTTAGTTAAGGATTCATGTCGAAGACATTCCCGCAGAATCATTCCGCAGTTGAGAGCTATGTCAGGATTCTCATATCTGTAAAGGAAAATTAAAATGTGATATGGTTGTGTAAATATTATATTCAATAATCTCGTTTACATCCCATTATATCCCATAAAAAATTCAATCACACACATACCCTTTAAGTAGAGTAAATAGAATTTCCTCACGATTCCTTAAATAATCAACAGTTGGCGTCAAAGAACCTATCTGTCTTCTTAGAAGGTTGTTGAATATTTGTGATACATCTTTCTTTGCCTATTATATTGATAGTAAAGACTTTATAAGTTTATTGGGTAAGAGAATTGTAACACAAACCAAACTATAATTGACAGATACCTCAAATTCAAACCTCCAGATATTCAACACTAATAACTGTAAAATATCATTATTATATACTTCTTGTGCCAATTGCGCAACCGTTTCTGGCACAGGATCACTTTCTAAAAAAAATGATACATCGGATGAATATATTTGGAAAGTACATTTAAAAGAGATCAATGATGATTTACGTGCTGAATTAAGAATAAAAATTAAAGTCAAAATGTACCTCCATCACCATAAAGAATAGTTTTCATAGTCGTCAAATTCTTCGATATGTCTTCGCTTGCCTACGAAATGACATTGGGTGAGGACCATTTTTTTATCGCTATACAAGTTCGTTGAGAGGTCAAGAACAACTCTTCTCAGAGTCAAAAGTATAAAATTTATCCAAGGACGACCCTTATAGTAAATAGAGTCTTTCTTGTAGACTCAAAGTTTCCTTCTCTCAAAACAAGCTGCAGTCTTTGTCCTAATAAACACAAATAACTCGTTTCAACCAACCTTCTTTTTATCGACACCATCCAGCCTATTAATGGCGTCTTTAACAATCCTCACCAACTCGTGTGGTGTTTTTTGCTTTGACTTAAATATTAGAAAGCTCATATTGTACAATAAAGTTTTGTAGTTGAGACAGTTTTGAGAAAGGAGGGGTTTAGCTTCAACTGTTCAAAAGGATGGAAAAGGGGAATATATCTCCTGACGAACTTTACCCCGTTGATATTAGATTGACCGTGTGGTTTGACCTTGTCAACCTGGCAACATTCTCCTGTTTTGCTAAAAATGTACTACCGCATGTTATTTCCATGAGTACAATATTAAATAATAAAAATTGGATTTATGTATGCTTTGACGACGTGTCCGAGTGGTTAAGGAGTGTGACTAGAAATCACATGGGCTCTGCCCGCACAGGTTCAAGTCCTGTCGTCGTCGCAATAAAAATTTATTTTTTTTCTTCACATTAAGAGCGTTAAAGGCGAACGTGTAATTGTATGTGACAATAAAATAATAAGTGATAAATAATACTTAAATATTTCGTAATTTTGGTATTAGTGATCTTTTATGTTAAATATATTATGCAATCTGCATTTTGAACTTAATGTAGGTAGAAAAAGATTTATTTTTCAAAAATTTCATAATATCTTTAAACAATTAGACAATTTTTAAGTATATTTTATATTATAAATATAATCTTTTTACAAATTTTCATATGAAAGTACCAAATTAATACTTTTATCAGTCAATCCCTTCTATAATTACTTCCTTTTAAAATTATCTAATGGTATAAATGTATCTATTGGTGAAAATGTTAATCTGGTATTTCCAATTTTCCATATATAATAAATATAATTATATAAATGTTTCATAATATAAATATACTTAAAATTAAGAGATATTTTATGTGCTTATATAGAAGGAATTTTATATATATTTATTATAATAAAATGATTATTAAAAAAAGTATTTTATGTATATAAAATTAGATCCAAAAAATGTGTACTTTAAGAAGAGGAGTTCTTATATAAAAGATGCCTATTTTCTTTTACCTATCTTATAACTTACTAATTTAGAAGAATCCTTCTGATTTTAAAATAATTACAAAATAAAATATGAATTTAAAAATTTATTAAAACCAATAATATTTTACCTGGCCTAAAGTTTATCTGACCTTATAGAACTGATTAAATATCTATTTTTAAATATTGAATAGATGAATATTTAAACCTTATATTTTAATCCATATTCATTAAGGATAAATAAAAACTGTGATAAACTTATCTGAAAATAAAGAAATCATACTTTTAGTTTGTTTTTTCAGTTTCTTTTTATATTACTTTTATATATAGTTTTTCTTATTTGTAATAGTTAGAACTTAGAACTTATGTTAGTAACAATAAATTTTGCTATACTTAAAGTAAATTTATAGTATTGTATTTTTTAATATATATCATAATATAATATCCTATATTCAATATAAAAGTTTTTATTTATAACTTATTTAAATTTGAATTTATATAATAAAACTATTTTCAACTGACTATTTCATTTAATTATAAAGTAGAAGAAATCTATATAGCTTTTCAATTTAAGCAAAAAAAAGTATTTGCAAATATATACTATATAAATCTTATATGAATTACTATTTAAAGTATACCAGCCAATTAGATAGATAATAGTTTGGTTTAGAAAGAAAGTAATTTTAATTGCTTTTTATTTTTATTTTTTTATATTGCAGAAAAAATTACAAAATACTATAATATAGTGAATCCTTTAATATTCTAAATGTATAATAAGTAAAGCATTATATATTAAGATGAAATATTTTACATATACTCCTGCGCAAAAAGTTTAGGACCACTCTATTTTTGATTATATTAAATAAAATTTTATTCTTATTTATATAAGTTTTTTTTTTAAAAAAAATTTTTTTATTGCAATTTCTTGAATAAATTTAAAAAATTCATATTGACATTTATAAATCACATAATACAAGGTTTTTTTCTCAATGGTGAATTTGTAAATTTTCAACTAGAGTGATTACAACAAAAATAAATATAAAATTTAAATAGTTAGCTTTAAATAAAAAAAATTTCTAAGTTTACACAGGGTGTTTGTATACGGGTCATATAAATATAATTTTTAATAGACTAATTTTTTGTTTTTTAATTTGAAATTGAATGCTACCGACATTATACTCTTTTACTTTTTATTCTTATTATATTATAGATAAATATATGTATTTTCATCTGCTCTGCAAGTTTACTTAAGGCATTAAAGGAGGTTTTGAATGCTGTTTTTAATCTACTAATATGATCCGTGTTTAAACACCTGTGTACAAATAGAAATTGCCTTAAATAAAATTATATTTCAAATTTCGTAAAAATTGAATCAGTAGTTATTGAGAAATTAACTATCAAAGATTGACAATTTATATGTGAGACCTAATAAAGTAATGATTTCCATATATAATTGTCAATATTTTAATAGTTGATTTCTCGATAACTACTGACTCGATTTTCATGAAATTTGGAATATAACTTTATCATTAACTAAACTATTAAAATTTTGTATTCATTTCACTGTAACTGCTTTAGTTAAAAAGTTGAAAATTCATTATTAAAAAAAAAAACTTATATTATATGATTTATAAATGCAAATATGATAGTTTTTTATGTTTATTTAAAAATTATAATATAAATAATTTTTTAAAAAAAAATTTATATAAATAAAAACAAAACTTTATTTAATGTAATCAAAAATAGGGTGGTCCTAAACTTTTTGCACGGAAGTGTATTGTTATTTATTGAATATAATTAATTAATTAATAAATGATAATATTATATATATAAAGTTTTTTCAATATATAAATTGTTTTAATAATATTTGTTAAATAATTAATCTCTACATACATAAATAATAATAGTTAATTAATTCCTACTTTTACATACATGATTAATTACTACATGCATATAGTTTATTACCAAAACAATCATTTTTAAATAATATTTATCAGTATTCAGTAATGCAGGATATAATTATCTTTTTATAATCAACTATACATAAAAGAATAAGTTACAACAATGGTATTAAGCAGATTTGTAATATACTATAACAAAAAAATTATTTCAGTTTAACTCTTTTTGAACAATTTATAATTGTGTTTTTTCTCTATTTTTAGCTTTCACTGTTTCTAATTAAGCAAATAATTTCAATTAACCTTGTTAACTTTACAATTAGCATAACTTATTTTTAAATTAATTAATTGTGCTAATTAATTTCATATTTAAAAGATAAAATTGAAAATCTCTCTATTAGTTTATTGTATATGTTTAATAGTAATCAATTTTAATTTTATATAAGGATTTAAAAATTCTTAATTTTACTATATGATTAGAACCAAAATTATTATTCCGCGGATCCCATAAAAAAAATCCGTAATTAATGATCATCATATGTAACCCAAACTATGATTCATTAATTATACCCTATCGTGACTATGTATTAGTTACAAGCTCTGAAGACGCCTTCTTGCAAATGCTCAGCCTAAACCGAAAGTAAACCTACCCTTAATTGCGTAATGTCAAGGTATTAAGTAAACTACCAATTTCGTCTCGCCGGCACGTTTACATAGTTTCTTCTTTGAAGATATAAAAAAAAAAAATATCGCGAATATGTATTTGTGAATAGTCCTATTCTTTCGGCTTGAATTTTTACCGAATATCTTCTGCGCATTTCAGGTGATCGATGATTCATAGGATATAAATTCCGTCATTATATCAAAAAGTAAATCACTATTATAATTTATAACTCAGTCATGATGTATGTTTTAGTATATATAGTCTTTTATTCATATACACTGAGTAAAGTATCTGGTTCTTTGACGCGTATTTTCTATTAACTATCCGTAACGCTTTTTGTCTATAAAAACAACTTTTTTTTATTTTTTTTAGTTCATAATATTCGACGCGTATTTTCTATTAACTATCCGTAACATAATATTCGTTTTCATCATTCTAACATGGAAATTGAAAGGTCAGAGCTAAATAGTTTGAAGGTTAGAGACTTTAGCCTCGTCGTTCACTTTGAAAGTGGTCGTTATGAGAATGAAAGACTTTTGAAAGACTGTGAGGAAAGCCTTTGTGACTATAACATTGTCGAAAGTACAGCAAACTTTGTAAGTCTAAAAGAAAACAACAAACGCTTAATCGATTTAATGGAAACTCAGAAAGCCATCGATGAAGATCTCTTTATCCTAGCGGAAGCATTACTAAGCAAGCTAGAAAACCAAGAAGTTTTAAGCAATTATAGAGACTGGATCAGTTACTTTAATAAGTTCTTAAGAGCTGAATTAGATGCGAATACGTGGTTCAAAGCCCAAAGAGCCGTTTATAACAAAATAGCAAATAAATTGGTAAACTATGCAGAATCAGAGAAAGAATATATTTTAGAATTGGAAAAGGCTCTTAAAAATATCAAAATGACTCTCTACCAATACGAAGTGTTGATTTTGTTAAAATTGAAAAGCAACATTGAATTTCATGGCGATGTACGTCAAACTAAAACACAGGCACAAGACAAACTCGATTCATTTCCTAAGGACATGCAAATTTTCAAAAATCCATTACAACAACTCTTCAGTTCTCTTGATGCCTTGATGCCTTATCAACAGAATAAATAGTCGGTCATATAACAACTTCAGCTAGAGGTGTATTTTATTATTATTTGGAGGGTGTATTTTATTATTATTTGGAGGGTGTATTTTATGATTATTTGGAGGTTTCTTTTTTTTACAAGCGTAATTTTTCTTTTTAATAAGTTCGAAATGGATAGATTTTTTTAATAAGAAATATTAATTATTGCATTTTGCTTACCGAAAACTTCTTTCTATGTATATATGTATATGGTAGGAACAATCTATGTATAAAACTTCACATTATAGCAACACGAATTTAAATAAATTTATATTTGCAAAAATATGCACGTTACATGTTAAATCAAAGTAAAGAACCTTTATCAGTTATTATATATTTTTTGTAAATATACATTTGGCCAATTGGTTGATAAAAAATAAGTTTAAAGAAAGATATTGGAGTAGCGGATGTTTCGAGGGGGAATGAAGTATAAAATATGCCCGTCTGATGAAAGTCTTCTTGAACTCTTCCATTCCTTTGGATTTGTGCCTACTGCTTAGTAACTCCAGCATCAGCCACAGCCGGGTCTTTTTTGGACGAACATGTATAACTTCTATCGGTATATCTGGATGTATCTAGTCTGCTTAGGTCCAATCCTATTCTCAAGCTCTTCAATTCTCTATCTCATCATTTCAAGCTCGGATGGGTTAGCTTCACTAACCGACATGATTGATAATAATTTTATATACGAAGGAATTATTCAATGTTATGTGGCAAATGTAAAGACTTGCTTTATTAATACATGCCAAAAATATATGCTAATATCTAATCCTACAGTCTAACTAACTACCTGACGTTTATGTGACTTAGAAATTCGTCCGCATAATGCTAATTCAAGGATCCGTAATATGTGCATTATGCCAAAGTTGGTTGAAGCAAACAGACAGATTAATTGTTCATTGATCGATTCGAAAAAAAGAAACGCAGTATGACATGTAGCAACTGCGGACTATGCTTCTAAGCATAAACGCTTGTCTCTTTACGTCTTATCTCTCCAGTATTTAAATTTAAGTAATATCCCCTATCATTATTCTCGTATGGTGTACCCCAATCATCTGTTTCTTCATCATAGTAGTAGGTTTCGCTCCATTTAGCTGTCTCGTCATAAGTATTAGGCGTGATCGGGATGTTTTTCTCAGTCAAGTCTAAGCTGTGCTCTTGCACCTCTGATACATCAGTTTGACTGGAAGAATCGTCGCTAATAGAATTGTCCTGATCATTGCTAAAATCTGTACTAGGCTTATTTGAGAAATGATCCATAATCTTTGAATTTCATCATTAGTAAACTTTGATATTTCATTCGCACTGTATGTCTTGAGATATTGGATTTTGTCTAATCCTATTTTTTGAGAAGTTTGTAGATCTTCTCAACTCTCTGAATTTTATGCAAACCATCTTTTGATATGTCTGGGATGCTGAGATATCTTTATCATACTGGTTCTGTGGAGTGGTAATACATCAGATTTCTGGGACCTGAAAATTTTAGTCACATGCGAAGTGCCTTTTGGCTGATTTGATACCAATTGTTTTGCTGATATTTTTTCTTTGGATGAAGATATGGAGAAAGATATTTCTTGAATTAATCCTTGTCCATTTTTTTGTTTAAGAGAGCGGTGAAATTCTAGGAGGCTATAAATGTTTCTAAATCCTCTTGGAGTTTCTTCTCCTACCTCTTCTGCCTAATCTCATTACTAACCTTTTTCTTATGCATTTCATCTAAGAAAGAATCCATTTTTTATCTTCTGATGACTTGTTGTCTGCATTATCAGCTACATGCTGATTAGCTATGCTAACATGCTGGCCTATTACAGGATCAGGTATATTATATGAAGTGTCAGCTAAAGCTGCCGCCCGAAATTATTTCCTAATTCCGAAATAATTTCGGCCAGAATTTTGTTTCCGAAACTAATTCCGAAATCCCGAAATTCTTCCGAAATCCCGAAACTCCCGAAATTGTCCGAAGCTTCTGATTGGCCTATTATAAAATCACATGACTTTATAAATTTGCTAAAATTTTATCTTCCATAATTCTGGCTCCGTAGCGATCTTCCTGACACGTGTAGCTTCGTTTTAAGCCTATGTTCACTTTGTGTAACATCAGTGCATAAAGACGCATAATTTCCTTATATGGTATATACGTTACACAAAGCGAACATAGGCTTAAATCGAAGCTACACGTGTCAGGAAGATCGCTACGGAGCCAGAATTATTTTATTATAATACAGTTATAATTTTGGTAAAAATTTTAATTTTGGTCACGTGATATTATAACAGCCAATCAGAATTTCGGAATAGTTTCGGCATTTCGGAATTAAGTATTTTTCCTAAATTAATTTTACCATTTCAGTTTTGGTAAATGGTAAAATTCCCTAATTTCAGGCGGCACCATGGCAGCTTTAGTGTCAGCTATTAATTCTGATATCTCTTCTTCCTTATTCAACTCTTTCTTTATACATCTTTTCATAGTAATACTAGGGATGGGAACGGTTCCATCAGTTCGGTTCCATCAGTTCGGTTCCAGTTCTTTTGAGCGGAGGAACCAGTTCCGAGCAGAACCGTTCCAGAAAACTGGTTCTGAGTGGTTCAGTTCCACAGAACGGCTCAAGTCGGTTTGGAACCTTTTATGCACTAATACGTAATGTTTTTAGGCTGATAAATTCCAGATGAATGTTTATTTACAATGCTTGTCTGGATCACTAGATGATAATTTCTGAAACTAAGTTATCCGAAATTCTGTATAGATCCAAAATTTTCTCTAAATCGGACAATCCGGATTGCTATCTGGCTTAATTAAATCACGGGAATAGTTGATTTATAATCATAGTGTAACTGCATAGAAATTTTATGTTCCCATTTAAAAAGGATTTATTAAACCACAATTCTGATTAACTACGATACTAAAATTTTATTTTAATTAAATAATAAATACAATTTATAATTCGTATAAGACAACTAGAACGTCAAAATTTTCTAAGATTTCATTTCTTTTTTCAATTATTTACCCTTTCCCATTCAAACAAATAATTCAAATTTTACTATTTTCTATTTTGCTTTTGGGAGAAAAATTGTACATGGAAATAAAACATGCTTCTATTGATTTAATTAGAAATTTCTATCCAACTATCATTTTTCCTTTTGCAGTATTTTAATATAAATTGATAAATAGATAACGGTTATTAGCATAATTGTCTTTTAACAATATGATGATTAGCCTAAAAAAGAATTGAAGTTCCTTGTGTAATTGCTGATATCATAAATAAAATTTGACAATCAAAAGATCAATTAAAAAATTCGTTCCCTTCTCAAAAATGGGAGACTCTGAAAAAACAATAAGCGATGAAGAGTTTAACCCTGAACAAGATGATGAGCCTGAAGAATATGATAGTGAGAAGTGGGAAGATGTTATAGACCCTGACGAGTCAGTTAGTTAAGTTTCTCGTGCGCGTACAACTTCAGAAACTGGTTCTTTGGATATACCAGATACGCTAGGAAGTAGAGGTCCGAATCGGTCAATCCGTAATCGTCACAATCTGGATTCATATGATTGATTACGTCAGTCGATTTGTTAAAATTAATGATCGATTAATCGGATGATCCGATTATCCGGATTCAAATCACATGATCTAATACATTTTATTTATCGTCCGATAATCTGAATCTTTTTTTTTATTCACGTCTCTCGACTCTCTCGAGTCCTTCGCTCTGAGACTTATAAACTAAAAAGTAATAACTAATAACTATTTTACTTTCGTCTCATCGTCTGATAATTTTAATCCTTTACTTTCATTATATTTTTCCCCTAAAAATCTTTTATCACATACATTGGTCTTATTTCTTAATTTCCCATTCCCTAATTTCCTAATTTCTCGTCCCTAAATTTTAAAATAAAAAAAATGAGTTACTCTCAAGATTCTGGTGAAATGAATGAAATCAATGAATATCAACAGGATGAAGAGAGCCAAGAGATCGGAGAAACTAGCAGTTTTTTTACTCGTTCTAGGGCTAGCAGTATATCTGATATCAGCGGTGAAAGTGCTTCGCTAAGTTCAATAACATCAAAAAAAAGACGGTATAATGGTCCTGGACCTGGGGGGTCTTCGAAAAAAAGTTTTATATGGAAGTACTTTAGCGAAGGGGCAAATCCTATCGGTCCCGGTAAAGTTATGACATGTAATCTTAACAATTCCGAAGGACAGCCATGCCAAAGAACTTATGCTGCATTTGGCAGTACTAGTAATGCTATTCAACATTTAGCCAGTGTTCATGGAATTGTTGAACAAGGAAAAATTCATATTAAGGTAGTTTATTAACTTTATTTGCATTTCGTAATTTACACTTTCTACTTTAAATCTTTAATTTTATTATTTATAACAAAATACATAATTACATATTTTTAACTATTAGGCGGTTAAAAGTGGAGTTATAGACCAAATGATAAAAAATCAAAACAAGAATAAATGGACTGAATCTCAACAAATAGTAGCAGACCGCAAACTTGCAAAATGGATTCTTAATTCAACCAGTCCTCTTGACACCGTTAATAACATTTATCTTAACGAGTTCCTTACCTATTTAAATCCACATTATAATCTACCTAACGACAAGAATCTCAAACTTTTGATTTATCAAGCATATGGATGGACTGAAGAATCAATGAAAGAACTTTTAAGTTCTTCTGCTAAGTATATCTCTCTCACTACGGATTTATGGACATCACGTGCTAAACAAGGATATATCGGAATCACTGCATCTTTTATAAGTATTGATTTCAAACTTTACGATATATTACTTGAATTAAAATATGTTCCTTATCCTCATACTTCTGAAATCATACAAAGTCATATCGAGTCAACTATTTCAAACTGGGGTTTACGTGGAAAAGTCATTGCCATCGCGACCGATAATGGTGCGAATATGGTCAAGGCAATATCTAATATTGATAATGTTGAACGAATCCCTTGTGCTGCGCACACCCTTCAGTTGGTGATCGGGAAGGGATTGAAACCTGCCTTGGTTTTTGTTGCTCGTACTAGACGTCTAATTCGATTTTTTATGTACCCGAAGCAAATTGAAAGGCTTAAAGAAACTCAGACTTCTTTAAATTATCAAAGAGTTTTAGGTGTAATTGGTGACGTGAGCACGCGATGGAATTCATTATTTTTAGCTTGGGAACGGCTCATTTATTTGAATAATGCAATCGATCAATTAGCTACTGATTTATCGCGAAATAGGGATAATAATGTGAAAAAGGATGGTCGACGTTTAAAAAGTATCAACCTTACAGAAGAAGAATGGACTTTTATGGAGGAATTAGTTGATTTACTTGGATTGTTTGAAGAAGCCACTACTTTCTTAAGTGGAAGTACCTATGCAACGCTTAGTCTAATGCATCCCACCATTTCTACAATAAAATCAATTTTTGAAGATGATTTAATAACAAATGCGGAAGGAGATGAAACTGATGATTTTTCTAATACTATTACTATATTGGATAATGATGACGACGAGGAAGATGAACAAGAATTCCTTGAACAACCAGAAGACGATGATGATTACGTATTAGATCCAACAACCCGAACTCGTGTAAGAATTAATCAGGCAGTGAATATGGAAGATATTATTGAAAAGGTTAAAGAAATTATCTTACAAGCGTTACATAAATATTGGAATATCCCATCTGATATTGCCTTAAAAGCGGCATTTTTAGATCCACGGTTTAAAGATTTGACTTTTGCAAGAAATAAAAAGGATCGGATTATTCGTTTAATTCAAGATGAATTGAATCAAGTAGGAAATCTTTTATCCGAAGATAACCCAAATGATGACGATCAAGGAATTAATGAAACGGAAGTAACGGAACGAAGAGGAGAAAGTCCAGTAATTAACGTATTAATAGGAGGTGATCGTTAAGTACTTTATTATTTATTACTTTATTAATTTATTATTTTATTTGATTTTATTAATTTATTTATTATCATTATTTTATTAAATACTAAATTCTATCTTTAATTTTATTATAATACTTAATATTTAATACATTTTAAAATTTTTAATAATCTAGGTTCAAGAAGAAATCCTCGGAAAGAAAAAAATACTTTATTCAACCGTATTTTTTCAAAGTCTTCTAACACAAATGCTTTCGAAAATGAACTTAACCAATATGTCAATATAAAATGCGCCAACTCTGATATAGATCCGTGTGAGTGGTGGGCCGAAAAAAAACAAATATTTCCATTATTATCTGATCTTGCTCGGAAATATCTCCATATCCCCGCAACTTCAGTTCCAAGTGAGCGGCTTTTTTCAGATACCGGTAATCATGTTTCTGTTCGTCGGACGCGTCTTGACCCCAACCTTCTTCGCACTATGGTATTTTTGAAGAGAAATATGAAAGCAATGGATATATTTCCACCTGACGAATAATTTGTATTTTTTTTTTCTCTTAATTCCTGTTAATATAATAATTTGTAGTGATTTTGCGGAATTTTTTTCTTTCTTTCTAATGCTAATGATAGTTTAATTACTTTAATACATAATTTGAATTTTGAAATTTTGAAATACAAATTAAATTTTAATAAATAAAATAATATTTGTAATTTCGTATATTTGTATATTACTATAAAATTTAAAATATAAATGACTTATATCGTGATAAATAGTATAAAAATAAAAAATTTAAATCCGGATTGTTGATTAATCGGATCATCCGGATGATCCTATATAATCGGATCA